CGGGCGGGGGGCCGCGAGCGGCGCGCGCTTCTGCGGCCGGGTCACGGCGCCCGCGTCCTGGCCGCCCTCTTCCTTTCTCCTGAGATTTCAGGCGCTTTCCCTAAAAGGCGTGCGGCTGAATTCTTTCTATTTTCTCCTATTTTTCTTGGTTAATTTTTTTTTTTTTTTCTCCCGGAGGATCTGGCAGACCCTGGGCCAGGCCTCCCGGCCAGCACTGTTCAACTTTAGGGGCTTAAAAATTAACAGTGCTGTGAAAGTAGAATTCCAGAATAAAACAGATTATTCGCTCCCCTCCTTGCCTGGCTGCTTGTAGATGTGCCTGGGAGTTCTTTCAGAATGAAAAATGACAAGTTTAAGAGAAGTCTGAAGTAAAATCCTAGTCTGCATCAGTTAAGCGGTCTGTAAGCGTTCAGAAAAACCTTTATGTGGTGCCCAATCCCATCTAGCCAGAGAGATTTAGGGACAGTTTTGAGTGTTTTTTGCCTCTAAGTTCTTGAAAGTGATAGTTTTTCCCTGCGGGCAGCTGGGAAGCGTATATTGAAGTTGGACATATAGCTGTATGTGCATCTAATGCTGATATGGTAAACCTTGCAATTAGGTGACTAAAACTACTAACTGTGGTCATGTGTAGCAGTTGGTACTTGCTAAAGCACCGTTCCATGCAGATGAAGCAGAAGTACTCGGCTTCACTTCGCATCCTGGAATATTTCTCTGGGCAACTGTTGCAGCCCTGTTGTTATTAACTAGAATTCCTGGGCGGAAGCTGGAAGAAGCTCATGTGTAGAGGTGGGTTTAAATCTGTGAAATCTGAAGTTTTGGCCCAGATGCAGAAGAACTGGAACAGCAGCCGTGAGTTGTGTCAGAGCTGCCGGCTGGAGGAGTTTGCAGAGGGAGCTGTAAGGGGCTGCAGCAGCTGCTTTGGTAGCAGGATGCAGGCAGGTACCTGAGCAGGTAACTGGTGAGAGGCACAGGGACCCAGCTCAGTGCAGAAGTCACCTCGCTGTCCCCTCATGTGCAAACTCACTGCTGGGCCTGCTGCGGGTGGGAGTGCTGCTCGCCTGATGGTGGTTGTTGTTGTTGGATAAAAGTCGTGAAAGTTAGTGGTGAAAGTGCACGGGAAAGTTTTATGCTTAAGTGTAGTTTTCAATAAGAAAAAACAATCTTAAAATGACACTTGTGTAAGAATATTAGATGTTAGAAGTTTGGAACTGAGAAGTTAGACTTCATTCCATTGGCTAGCCAAAGTTTTACTAATGATACAATAACCATGGAAAAAGTAAATTGGGTTTTACTCCCCCTCAAGCCAAAACTCGACGTGTTACATTTTAATTTGCAGAGCTTTGTTGCTTGTAGCATGAGACATACAGAGAACACAATGTGGGTTTTAAATTCCTTGATGTCTGCGGAGCTGGGGAGTTGCAGAAATGTTATGCATCTTCTGGCATTAATAGGAGCTGATTCCCTCAGCAGGGAAGCGGACCGTGAGGCTCAGTCCGTGATGTTCTAACAGCGACTTAGCTTCGCTCACGGTGTGGGACGTTACGTGGTCTGTATCCTGGCAGAACCAAATTCTGAATCTGGATCCGTCCGTCATTTGTAGTCTTTTTTGTCTCTGAAGAAGTTGCTCTGTTAGATGGGCTGTTGATACTCGCAAAAACAAGCATCAGGAGCGTGTATAGGAGAGGATCCTGTTGAGTTTATCTTTCAGGGTCTGGTTCAATGTTATTAAAACCAATGGCACCTACCCTCAAGTTCATGCTGTGAGAGTATGATGTTGGTGGTTAGAGGAAGTGAGGTGAAGAGCTGCGTTCATCTGCGGCAGTCGTGTTTCAGGGGGATATGTTGTGCCATGTCGGGGCTTTTGTATCCTGTCTGCAGAATGGAAAGCAGAGACTTTGGTGAGGAGACGACTCAGAAGTTATGCATCTTAATTGGCCCCAAACAATGCTGAAATTCAATTAGGTATTAATAATGAGTTTCAGCGTACTGAGAACAAGCTGCGTGTTTGTCTAATTGATGCGAGATTGAGTTACCACTGATGGCAAAACTTTGCAAGAGCTCGTATGACTTTGGGACCGAAGCACAAGGGCTGCAGCAGGGCACTGGGCCACACAGTCCCAGTCAAGTCAATGTGTCGGGATGGGGCTTTGTGGATAACTGGCTGCTCTGTAACTGAATTGCACAAACAGGGCTTTTGAGTCAAGTTGTTTGAGCTTGGGGCTGGGAATTGGCAGCCTTGGCATTGATTTAATGTTTTCCCATGGAACAGTAGCATGAAACGCTTCTCTGCCTCTGTTTCCTTCTCTGCTTTAAGAAAAAAAGAAGTGGTGGTGGGTTGAAACTTAGTTATTAATCTATATGTTCTGGAAAATAGAAGTTTTTCATCACTGAGCAGGGTTGAAGTTAGTAGTTCTGTTTTATCCCAGATTCTTCAGCAACAACAAATGTGTAAATCCATCTGGATGAAATTCCCAAGGAGTGTCTGACACCAGAGTAAATGGAATAATATTGCATTTGTATTTGTGTGTGTAAAGGAAAAGTTGAAAAAAAGTCAACCGGAAAAGTGTAGCTTTTCTTTTTTTTCATTGGTCTATAAGTTCAGTAAGTGATTCTTATTAACTTAAACACTGAGGACCGGTTTTGTTTTCTGAACAGTCCACTTTGTGCTAGGTAAGCAATGAAAATAAGCCTTCTCCAAGAAGATTAATTAAAGAAATTTTCCTGTATGGTTTACTTTCTGCACTTGACAGACAAGTGTGCAGCCTTTGCAGCCATGCTTCCCTCTCCCCTTCTCTGCTCTGAAAGTGACACAGAATTGCTCCTTAATGCCTATATTGGACAGATACTTTTGATTTTTTCAGTCATAACCTTTTTAAGTGCATCTCTCTAAAATGAACTGCCCCTAGCCCCAGGGAAACTGAGTTCAGGAGAGCAGCCCAGAGTTTGATCTAAGTAATTCAGTCAAGTACATTCATGGTAAAAGTGCGTAAGCCAGTTGGATCTGTTTTTAATTTTCAGTTGCTGATGAATTGAAGGAGCAGGATGATTAGGGATAGCAGGGTCTGGAAATTCCTTGTCTGTGCTCTAATCAAAACCATGATTGTGTCCTGTTTGTGTTACAGCATGGGCCAGTCTTGCTCGTGTAACCCAGGAGAAATGTTCGTGTTTGTATCAGAGCAGGGAAGCTGTGTCCCTGTGGCTGGCATAGCGTGGCTGCAGTTAGCAGAATTTACAGGGCTGTCTCCCTGGCTCAGGAAGCGAGCCTGGCATGAGAGAGAAGGATCGAAGCAGCCTTTTCTGGGGAGGGAAGTAGCTGTGCAGGGAATCGGGCTCGGAGATAAGCGTCCGCTTGTCTAGCCCTCATCTTTATTGCTGTATCACAGTGCCACAATTTCTTTTGCAGATAAGCTACTGTTTTCCTAATGTGAAAATACAGTCAACATGCTGCATCTGGTATCCACCAGTTGTCTCTAAGGTTTCTAGGAGTGTATTTAGGGCTGAGATCTACTCCCAAGCATCAAATTCTGTTGTAACTGGCCAGCAGATTTGGAAATTGAAAGGTGACACAGAGCAGAGCTTGGTAGATATAGGTAGATAACCCTGTCACGAAACATCATTTCTCTCGGAACCCAGACTGAAGCCCATGTGGGATGATGCAGTCTCTGTATCTTGTGTGTGCTAACACATTGCTCACGAATTGCCAGACTGCTGGAGTAGCAGGAGGTGTCGCAGCTTGAACAGAGTATCTTCGATTCAGTTTCTGGTTCACTGAGTGACTGTTCTCTACGCAAGCTCTGTAACTTGTTCTTTGCTGTTTTTTCACAACAGTTTTGTGCTTACTGGTTGATAAAGGCGGGAATATCCATGCAGCCTATTCTTTTTCATAATTATAATTCTCAATAATTCTCTTTATTTTCCAGTTCATTTTGGAAGTGGATATCTGTGCAGATCGCAAGACTAACAAGAGGTTAGTGCATAAACATTCCTGTGTTTTTAATGATTCGTTTTCCAGCTCTGTCTAGATGTCTCGTAAGTGTGTAGAAATCGGGCAGAGCAGAGTATCAAAAGTGTTCCCCATCTCAGCTATTCTTGACTTCGCAGTGGAGCACTCCCGTGGTTGTGCTTTCTCTCTCTATTTATTTTTTAATACTTAAAAATGATACAGTCATTCTCTATTGGAACAGCACTAAATTTTGATACTTCAAAGTTTCCTGTGGTAAGACACAAATAATCTTGTGTGATGCTTTGTAATGGGAAATGGACACCTCAACTTTAGCATTTTCCTCCAATGATTATAAACCAGGTCGCTAAGTTTTGCTATATTACCATGGGGTAGATGCCATCCTCTGATTGACATGGGTGATCTAAGACTGAGAGGGGAAAGTCAAGGTGAGGCTGCAGGTGATGGCTGAGCCAGTTTGGCAGCTCATCTCTGCCAAGAGGGGGAGGTTTTGCTCCTCTCTCCTTCATCTCCTAGGAGCTCCTGTCCCTCCCTCCTTCCTGCCTGTCTGAACTACTGCTGAACTGATCCTACTGCCATCCTTGCAGAAAGTAGTTTTGTTTCTTTCTGTGAGTTATTCTTCTCAGAATTTTGTTGAGCCATTCAGAGTGGGCTCTGGAAAGTACCAGGACTGCACCAGGAAAGCACTAGGCTCAGTGTGAGCACAAAGCTGGAGGAAGAGAGGAAGTTAGGTAGGAAGACCCCTTCCTTTCACAGTGTAGGGTTGTTAGATTTGTTCAAATCATTCTACAGTAGCTTATTCTGGCACCTGAATGAGCTTTGAAAAGTCTACCTAAAGTTTCTGCCTAAATATTTCTAATATCTAAACATTTCTGCCTGTTATGTGTATAGAGAACTCTTGGGGAATCATTTTTAAAAAGATCTTCGTTTAATCCTGTAGTTATGCCAGCAGCCAATGACTTCTGCAATGATGCTTCTCTAGGCCTGAAAACTTCAAACTTCTTGACTTTGCCTCAAGCTTTTGATGCTTTCATACTCAAAAGCAGCACTTCTGGTTTGGAACATGCCTGAGCTCGTGACATGGGAGTTGGAGAGCAAATTTTAGGGAAGCACGCTGTAGGATTTTGCCCTGTTCTTTCACTCTTTGCCAGGTGTCTGCTGCCGAGCCCAGCAGGTCAACAGCAGACCTCTTGGAGGCGGGGTGTTGTGCTAAGTAGACCTTTGGTCTTGGGTAATCCCACCTTAATGGTGGGGAGCTAACCACTATGCTATTTCTGATTCCCAGTGCTTGGGAGATTGCTTAAATTTCTAAAGAATCCTAATTAATATAGTGTCTTTTGAAAAAGCTAAGAGATGACATATTTTACGTGTTGCAAGACCTTTGAAAGATGCATTTGTAATCTCAAACTTGACTGATCAAATCCACCATTTGAGTGGCATTAAATAACGTTATGTGTAATATCTAGCACAATCTGTTCCAGTATTCAGCTGCTATCAAAATAGACTTTTTAATAAGAAATTCTGGATTTCTAGTAATGTGTTTATCGGCATTTTTTTTTCTTTAAATGTTTACTGCAGCTTTGTCTAAACTGGTGGATTTTTGCAACAGAATGACCAGGTGCTTTGATCTCCTAGTCCTTGTACAAATAGTAGAGTAAATGATTGTAGCAGAAGTGGTTATTCTTGATCCTGGAGGCTTGTCTTGAGTTCAGCTTTAGTATTTTAACATTTCATTTCTCATTAGAAATTAACCTTGTTTTTTTTTTTGTGTGTGTTTTGCAATAGCAGATATTAACCTCAGATTTTGTCTTTTGCTTTCATTTCCCTGATACAGTGCTAAGAGCCCAATTTGGAGGAATCATGGAAGAATCCAACCCACCCACTAAACCTGAGGAACTGAACCCTCACTCTCGCTTTATCATTGGTTCTGTGTCAGAGGATAATTCAGAAGATGAGACTAGTTCCTTGGTGAAACTTGACCTGCTAGAGGAGAAAGAGAGGTCTTTGTCTCCTGTATCTGTCTGCTCGGATTCCCTTTCAGATCTAGGACTTCCTAACGTTCAAGATAGCCTGGCAAGTCATATGAGGTATGAGTAAAAAATGGTACTTTGATCCAATCCTTGGACTTTTTACCCCATCCACTCCAAAGATGCTCCTTGTAGGTTGAAAACTAATTACTCTTGCCTTCATGCCCAGGTTCCAGGTTTAGCTTCAACTGTTTTTACTGTGGCAAACATCTTCTGACGTTCTGTTTCAAAATGGGCTCTTGCCTGTTTTTCTATACCAAGGCATTTATTTTGCATTGAGTTTAATGAAACATCTGTGTCAAAAATCCTTAAATGTCTCTGAAAAATCTCAACTGTTGAATATTATGATGGATCTCTCTGTTGCCTGTCTCCAAGCTTTCTGAAATACCTTTAAAGCTGTCAATTGTGCATGACTTTTGGATGGGGTAATTGGGCCATATTTGTTCTGTATGCTCTGAAAATTGAAATGTGTTGACCAATACCTTTAAAGCTGTCAGTTGTGCATGACTTTCAGATGAGGTAATTGGGCCATATTTGTTCTGTATGAGGGCATTATTGCCTTGTGTTTTCTTCGTTTGGAGTTTGGGGCTTTATATGTAGCCAACGAATTGGCAGTACCTCCAGATAAGATCAGTGACTCCAGGTAGCGTGGAGGGGACGTTGCTCATTTTGTACAGGGAAACGTGTTTGTGGACACAGAAGAGCGTGGTGCCTGTGGAGTGGCAATAACACAACCCTGCTGCGATGCCTCTGCTTGCAGCTCCGGCCGATGCTGCCTCCTGTTTGGGAGATGAGCAGTTTCACCCTGACTCCCAATTCCTTGTGGCTCAAACAAGCTGACGCAGTTGGGTTTTTCAAATCGTGGTGTTGATGTTTCCATGTCAGTGGTACTGAATTACTGTTCCAGTTTGGTGACTTGCACAGCACGCGGAATTTTGTCTGTTTTAGGCAAGATATTTTGTACACTTCAGCGTCTCCGTACAGGTCACAGTTGCTTGGTAACTGGCCAGTCCTGATTTAATCTTACTTGCTTTTACTTACCCAGCTCCCATGAGATGCGGTGTGTCCATAGCTGTGCACAATACTGTGCCTAAGGCCTCGCCAGAGCAGGGTGGGATGAGGAGATGCTGTATACGAGAAGCAGAAGGCAGTGAGTGACCACCACATTGAGTATTTATCTAGTTATCTTGTATTGGATATAATGCTTTGTGCTCCTGCCTAAAGAATGACCTCCTGACTTAAGGAGTCTAGAGGTAATGCAGGTAGATGTTTACATCTGTGTGAGATATATATGCATATATATGTATATATTTTTGGGCAGGGGGAGTTGCTTGGCTTCTGCAGATGAATTTTAATCTGTCTTCAATGTGGTGGTTCCTTGCCACTCTAAGGAGAAAGTCTCTGGAAACAAATAGTAGCAGGCTCTTGGAGTAGGGGCACAGCAGTCCGTAGCTTACACAGGTGTTTTGGTTATACTGATGGCTGGCAGTAATATAAGAGATACAGAATCATAAAATGCATTTAAAGAAGATTGCCTTTCCACTCACTTATTACAACTGGAAATGATGGAATTAATTTGGCAGATTAAAAGGTGTTTTTAAAGCAGGAAAAAGATGTAACCCTGTAACTGTATGCATTTTAGGGTCAGAAGAAACCGTAGGAGTGCTTAACCCTTACTGTGGAAATAGACAGTAGGAGAACAAAAACCAAGGCTGGGCACTGGCTGCTTGTAACTTCTAGGGCACTGCCTGGCACCAAAGAGCTTTAATGCAATAGGGGTGCAGCCTTGAGCACTTCTGTTGTAACGTGCTTACTTTGGCACCCTCTTTTGAGGGTACTTGATTTTCAATTAAATTGGAGAGATGTGCCAATTCAAATAAGCAAAGTCACAGCATTAGGCTGTTTTTTTCTGAGATAAAGCAAGGTGTATTGAAGTAGTTTTCCAGGATAGAAGTCCCTTTCATCCAAAGATTACCAAACAATATTTGCAGATGGAGAAACTGGGTCGTGGATAAGGTAACTTGCCTGAAGTCACTCTGGGACACTAAATTGATGGAAAAGAGGTATTCTTGCATTTAGTTTCCTTTTGGTATTCACTAAACTGCAACTTTTTCTACAGTGGCAAGATAAATTGACAAGTTGTATGCAGCACAGGTCGAGCAAGGTGGGTGTTCAAGGGAACAGGCCTCTCTGGCATGAGGAGGGTGCCAAAACTTTTACCGTTTGCAGGGTAGCAGGTGCCCTGGTTTGTTCTGCAGTTCCCCATAGCAAACTTCAGTTAGCAAACGTGGGGATAGCTTGTATTTGAGGTGAGGTTTGTGCTGGAGAAGTCCTTGGGCAACATTTATGTTTAAAATACAGTCAGTTGAAAAACGGTTTGTGAGTTTACCTGCTCTGCCATTTCACCCCTTCCTAAATCTTGTTGGGTGGTAAAGCTGTTGCTCTGATGGCTGGAGAAAAGGCATTTTCTCCTGTCGCCCAGGAAAGGTGGAAAGTTGGTTGACAGCCTCTTCAGCCTCTCTGCCTGCTCCCGCAGGCGCTTCTGCTTCCTCCCGGCTTGCAGACTGTCCTGAAGAGCAGGTTAAACACCGTTTCGGAGGGCAGCTGGGTGGAACGGTCTGTGTGCAGCCCCCGGCACGTCGTGGCTCGGGGCTGGAAAACGCTGCGAGAGCCCTGTCGTCCCCTGGGCCTGTGGCGTCCCATCGATCCGTCCTGACCCAGCCGTGGTGTCCGTGGGCCAGCTCCTGTCCCTCCCCGGGAGCACGCGGAGCGCGGGTGCGCTCTGCGCTTCCCTCCAGCACCTTATTGATCTTGTTAAGTGTTTCTGTATTGCTAAAGACAGTCTTGCTGGGACAGGTTGCACACTATAGGCTTCCATACTGCTGGGTATCTGTGGTGACCTTTGGTTGTGCCAGTTGGCTCCTAGTCTGTGAGGTTGAGAAATTCATGATGTGATAATGGTCTTTAAATTGGTGTATGGCACCTCAGGGTTTAGCAAAAGTTGTACCTGCCTGTGCAGCAGGCCTGCCCTGCTTCTCTCTGAAATTTCAGTGATGAATTAAGTAGCTTTTCTATAAAAGCCCTGTGGAAAATGCTTCAATTCTATTGTTTAATAAATTGCTTTTGACTATTGCTAAATATAATTCCCAGTTTTAAAGGTGGTGTCTTGTATCAAATCCTTGTTAGAATAAATTCCACATCCCCTTGAGTTTGAGTTAAAAACAATCCCTTCCAAGTCCACTGCTTGTGGTTAAGAGAGAAAGCTCTAGAGTCCTGATCCTGGAAAAATCATGAGCACTGGTGTAATTTTGTGCACAAATGTGCAAATGTGATAAGCCAGAGCGCAGGGGTAGGGATGATGTATTTTGCATTGTCCTTTATTAAATTTAGCTTCGTTCCTTGTGCAGAGATGAGTCGAGTCTCGTTTTGATTTATAGGCTGAAACAGCAATTTCTGGCAGTGTCTGCATCCAGGGCAACATTTCTGTGCCTTTAAGACCAAAGGAAAAAGACTGCGTTTGACTGAGTCCGTCTCTGACACCTGCCCCAGCCCTCCCAGAGGGCAGCCGTGGAGCTCAAGTGGGTCTCAGGATACTTCAGCTGCGTTTAGGTCTTGCATCCAGACCAGCTACATCTCTGCATCAGCACAAAGCAGGAGCTGATGGTCAGAGCTGCCCTCCCTGCACATCAGTCCACTCCATCCTTAGTCCTTTGCAGGCCTAATATGAAAAAAGACCCCCCTTTCTGTGCGTGTGTGTGTACGTGCTGCAGCCCCCTTAAGCCTCCCTCTCCCACGAGCTGCCTGTGCATGCAGCGCTGCGTCACGGCTGGCGCTGGCATGCGGCGGCGCTGCGATCCCTGCGGGCTCCTGGCCGCGATGTGCGTCAGGTAGGTGCCTGTAGCGAGCGCAGGGGAGCAGCAGGAGTTTCCTTCAGCCTAGCTCGGCCCTGGGGGCTTGAGACGCGGTGCCTTTCGAGCGCTTGTTGCCGTTTGCGTTCGTTCTGCGCAGCATCATGTTCGAACTGAGCTTTCCAGAGCGTGCGCGTGCTTGGTGCTAAACGTTATTCCAGGGTGAGCCACCCTCGTGCAGCAGGTTTCCGCTGCAGCGAGCTGTGGCCGGGATTTCAGCTGGTGACAGGCAGGCTTAATGCTTTAGCCGGCGCTGAAGCTGCTCCTCAAATCAAGCTGTGCAGCACTGCGGGGTTTGCTCCCTTGCAGCAACACCGGCTTGAGACTGGTTTGGGGGCTGCAGCTTGTGTTTTTGGGACACAGGCAAATATCTGGGGAATGGGTTTCAGAAAAACTGCCTGCAAAATAGAATTTCATTTCACTGTATGTGTAGGGCTGTGTGTGTGTGTATATAGGTGTATATAAATGTTGACCTTGGCTCAGGATTAAAAACTGAGGAAAATTAATAGAACCATAGATCCTGCAAGCATTTTATTTTGGAAACGATGGAGTATCGCATTTTCTGTGTGAAGCGTGTGCCCTATAAACTCACTGAACATCTGGTGGGTTTTGCCAGTGCAGTTTGGTGATGACCAGTAGAGAAAGTGACACTGTCTTACGAAGCCGAGGCCCTGGGTTCTGGGGTCCCTTCTGTGCTGACGAGCTGGCTGGAGCAGAGGGCAGCAGGGGCGCTCGGTACTGCAGGGACTGAAGCCTCGGGGTGCTGGGGCTTTTGCTTGTTTGCATCTGTTCTTCTTCTCCTGCCTGCTGTCTGGTCCCGCGGGGACTTCCCTGCTGGCTGCCACGGTGTGTCGCTGTCCCCCTTCACCCCTCTGACCCGTGAGGGAATGGGCTCCGTGCAGACACGGGTGCTGGCATTTTCGGACGCATGGCACTGCTGTTCCTTGCTTGTCACACCTGCCTGCTCTTAGTCCCCGTGGGCCGAGTGGCCTCTCCTCGGCGTGCTCGGGTGGCATCGCCTTAACGGGACGTTCTCCTCTGGGCACATGCCCATTCTCGGGTGACAGGGGTCACTGCAGGTGGCCTGGACCCTTGGGATGTGTGCGCAGCAGGCGAGGGCTGCGCTGCAAGGACGGACCCAAGTGCTGTTAGACCTTGAAGTGTAGTCCTGGTGCTGAGTCCGGTTTTAATCCGCGTTTGAGCCGGGTTTCTGGGCATCGCTGCCCTCGCTCTTCCTTCCTCCCCTCCTCACAGTCGTGATTTCACTTTGTGCCGCGCGCTCCGTGCCGAGCAATCCCCTGCGCGCTGAGGAGGCGCCGCTGCCGCCGCGGAGCCGCTGCGCGACGGGGCCGCGGGCGGCGAGGAGGCTGCGCGGCCCCACGGGCCCCACGAGCTGCAGCGGCGCCCGCTAAGCCCCCTTATGTAACCCGGGGAGCAGTTTCCCTCCCTGCTGATCAGCTGCTCTCCCCTGGATGCAGCGCGGAGCCGCTGCCGGAGCGCGCGCTGCGTCATAGGAAGAAGAGCGGCTGCAAGAGCCGCTGCTGGGAAGCCAGGGACAAAGGTTAAAGGCTTGGAGCAATCAGGGAAGTGCCAGTGCCTCGAGGAGGGCACGTGAGCGCGGGAGGCTCTTTGCAGCTTCCCTCTGCTCTCCTTGGAGCTGCGGCGTTGGGGGAAAAAATAGCAGCAGCTGCAACAGACAAGCCGTAAGCAAAAATAAAATCTGATAATTCCTTCACTGAGGCAGCATGGAGGATTCTGCAGATGACGGCCAGGAAATGAGATACCACATGCTGCAAAGGTAAGAGTTGCTGGTGTGATTTGTCTCCTGGTAGCAGCGTCTGTCTGGGACTGAGGTAACCGGGCGCGCTGTGCTGGGAAAATACCAGCCCAGATTTCCAGGCTAATTTTACCTGAACTGGAGAGATTGCAGGAAGATATCTGTATGTGGTGTCTGTGCATGCAGCCTCCGAGGAAGGGGCTAGATTACGCTGTAGTTGGGAAATCAATATTAACAAGGTTTACAGTTCTACACAGCTTTTAACCTCTGAAAATAAGGATAGATTAGTATTTAGAAAGTTGCTGCCTTATAAAACACTGCAGTTGTGACCCAGTGAATAGCAGGGATGGCAGTTACTAACTCAGTGCTTCTCCTGTTTTGTTTAGTGCCCAGTGTTCCTTCTTCCTTGCTGCCCTGCTTCTCCCTCATTGCACCCTGCAAAAACAAAACACATCTCTCTGAGTCTGGCATTGTCAGTAAATAAATGTAGTGTTCTTGGTATACTTCCCATCACAAATTAACCTGAAGTCCCCTTGCTTATAAACAAGTATTTGTACTCCATTCCGCATGCTGCAGTTCTGTGGGTCTGTTTGTGTGATCCGCTTTGGTTGTTGTTGCATGTGCAGTGGTGTTGTGCAACAACGTGAGGCTGGCAGCATAGTTCATGTTCATCCACAGCTTCTGAGCCCAAGATTGGAATTTTTTACTGCTTCTGCTGAAGCTGCTCTCAATAAGCATGTAATGATGACCTCATTTATCTGTTGGACTGCTCTTCTCTCTGCCATGCTATAGATTAGCACCCTCTTTTGAAAGATGTGACTTTAGTCAAGCTCACCTACGTCTGTCCTATCAAAGTCTGGCTGCTGGGGCAAGGGCTAGGTAGGATACTGCCTCTCCGAAGCAGCTCCCTTGGGGAAAGCAAAGTGCACGGGGGAATTTCCCCCCATGGAACTTGTTCCCGTGCCCTTCCCTGGACATCGGCTAGCTGCGTTAGCTGGGGTGAGCTGCTAGGCTGCGAGTGCTTTGGTCTGACCTGGTGTACACATCCTTTCCCCTTTAAATGTCGTAGGATGGCATGCCTGGCTCGCTTACTGATGGCATTTCTGAAAATCACCATCTTACTCTTATTGCTCCTGTCTGTCATCTTTGTTTCTCCTGCTGCTGGCTTTGTGGATGGCATTGCGGTCTCTCGCTCTGTTTAGAGCAGGTTTTCACTCAAAATTTGCTTTCCTTGCAAGACCGTCATTGCTTAGAGCTCTTCACCAGCAAGATGGCTTGTCATGGGATTATCTGGGACAAAGATTGATGTGTTAATGCAGAATGTTGGGTCTGAATATCAAACGCTGCAGCTCTGCTCGCTGCCTCTTCTGGAAGCCTTCACCAAAGTTGGGCCCCTGCTTTGGTGGGACCCTACAGCCAAAGGAGGTGGCATGTGCCAAGGAGATAAGGACAGAAAGGGGATATCCACGTGTGTCTGTGCATGGTAGATAAACGTGTCTACGATCAGGCCTGGATACTGATCTTGCCTCACCTGAAAGATCACCTTTCTCTGCTAATACAGCTCTTGTTATACCAGGATTTGGCATGTATCTTTTCAAATATGTTGTGTTGTTTGATCCAATCAAGATCCTATTCATTAATGTGTCCTGCAAAGCAGCGCATAGCCTTGTTAGTCCAATGATAGATAAATCCTTATTATATCTGCAGGCTATTTATGAGGGGAACTTGAAGGGGAAATCTCTGCATTCCATCTCGGGCTGTTATCAAGCACCTCTTCCAGCTTCTCCTGGCTCATTGCAGCCAGGATGCTCCGGAGCTCCTTGCAGGGCAGTGCAGCTCTGAGAGCCTGGTGTGAACGCAGACCCCTGTGTGCTGCACGTGCCTGTCCGGGCCTTGTTTCCCTTCCCGCCCCAGTAATTCCACGCATGTTCTGCCCGTCTCATGCCACTTCCCAGGGGAGTTGCTCAATGGGATGGGGCAGGCAGCGGCATGGCCAGAGGCTGTGGCTGTGCCTCCCGGGTGCAGGGCAGCGTGCAGGGCTGTGGGGACAGACAGCTGCTTCACGTGGCACTGATCCTCCGAGGGTACGCGCCTCTGCAAAGCATTATGCAATTCTTCGAGTGTCTTCCTAATACTCATGTAGTAATGTCCCTCCTACAGAAGGGTTTGGAGGGAAGGATTTTGCATCAAGGTGTTCGAGGAGGGACTGCAAAGGGGAGTTTACAAATTCTTCACATAGGCTTCTCTGTTCTTGTACAGCTGCTCTGGAGCCAGTCAAGTTGATCTTTTCCATCTCCACCTCATTTCCTTAGGCCCAGTATGTCCGGGTTGCACCTTGTGAAACAGGGCCGGGACAGGAAGAAAGTTGACCTACAGCGGGATTTCACTGTGGCTTCTCCAGCAGAGTTTGTTACTCGTTTTGGAGGGAATAAAGTTATTGAAAAGGTAAGTTACTGCTGTGTGTGACCGCAGCAGGACGCATTCGTCTTCCCTTCCTTGAGCTGTGGCTTCTCCGCAGTCCAAGACTCTACATTGCAGATAGCAAAAATATTAATATTCCTGGACTGAAAGCTGTCTAAAGAGACACCAGACAAAGAGTTTATGAAAGTCTTCAGGGTAGTAAACAAGTATTTTATTTGTTGTTTAGTATTCTGTGTCATTTAGGCTCTGTCTCCTCCCTGCTTCTAAAATCTTCAGGTCCTGATAGCAAATAATGGGATTGCAGCAGTGAAATGCATGAGATCCATCCGACGCTGGTCCTACGAGATGTTTCGAAATGAGCGGGCGATCAGATTTGTTGTCATGGTGACCCCCGAGGATCTGAAAGCAAACGCAGGTGGGTTGCAGGGACAGGCACGGCCTTCTCCTTGCGCACACAGGGGTGCGAGAAGTCGCCTGTGTGTCCACGGCGCTGTGTGCTGTTCTGTGCTGCCATGTGCCACTCAGCGGTGCTGTGTGCCACCAAGAGTGAGTGGGAATGGAACGAGGAGGAAAACTGGATGCACATTTTAGGATTTGCTCCTAGTATGGATTGAGAGTTTTAAAGCAAGTGCCACGAAGCAGGTGTCCCATGTAAATGTGCTCTCCTTTGTGTTTGCAGAGTACATTAAGATGGCGGATCACTACGTCCCAGTTCCAGGAGGACCAAACAACAACAACTATGCAAACGTGGAACTCATTCTTGATATTGCTAAACGCATTCCAGTGCAGGTGAAAAGTGCCAACGATAGTTTTCAACTTGGGAGCTAACGCTAAAGAGTCTGCTCTCCTTAAATAAGGAGCTGTATCTTGGGGGAGAAAAAAAGACAAGTCAAAAAAATGGAACTTACAAACCTATTCTAGCACCGAAAAGCAGGCAATGTTGGATACAGCAGATTTCCCAGTGTGAATGTTTGCAGGAGGCAGAAGGGCGTCCTCATTTCCCTGCCCCTAGTGCCTCTTCCAGAACTCGTGTTAGCAGTAGTCATCCTTGAGTCCCTGCCTGCAGGACGCAGCGCGCTGACCTGCCCGCTGAGCTGAGCACACCGGCTCATACAGGTGCTCATGAACATTAGGAGGCTGTTTCTGTTTGTTCAGGAAAAGAAGGACTTGATGCTAGCTATATGCTTTATGTTTCTTCTTGCTGGCTTGCTGAAACAGAGTGAATTATGTTGTGTTTTTCTGCAGGCTGTATGGGCAGGCTGGGGCCATGCCTCTGAGAACCCTAAACTGCCAGAACTGCTCCACAAAAACGGCATTGCTTTCATGGGTGAGGATACCTGCTTCTGACCTTATGCCTAACGCAGCTAAGTCCTTATTGTAAGATAAGTGCTTTGGGGTGGAAAGCTGAGAATCTAAAATTCCAAGCCAAAATTCTAGTAAAATCAGGACATTGAATTATCTTTTCAGTAGAAAGATGCTTGCACTTAATACCTGCAACTAATTCCCATCACCTCTTTGAGAGCAGGCGGCGGTGGGGGGAATGCACAACCCGGTGCTGCTGCTGCTTGGGCTGTGGCTGTGCCAGCCTGCTGGACAGCAGGGACACTTAATGGTCACAGAGGCCACCGTGCTGGGCCTGCGGCTGCAGTGCTCAATTCCTTTTGCTTCCATCTTAGTCAAAACGTATTCTAGCCTGTCCGGTTTTCCTTTCCTGGCTTCTGTTGTTAATGTTCTTAGTTTCAATTCAGAAATGCTGATTTATACTAGTGTAGCAGTAGCATGTAGCAGCCCTTCTAAGAGTGATTATTTGTCTCTCTCGCACTGAACCAAATGAGTCCTGCTGGCATTTCCCTGGCACTTGATATCTTGTGCCTCTTTCATGAGTTCTTGCTCTTTGCAGGTCCTCCAAGCCAGGCAATGTGGGCCTTAGGAGATAAAATTGCTTCGTCAATAGTGGCTCAGACTGCAGGCATCCCAACCCTTCCTTGGAGTGGCAGTGGTAAGAAGGAACTTCTCCTTTATATAATCATAACCCTTTTCTTTTTGACAAACATAGTATTTAGGAAATATCTGTGCACAAAATGGTCTCCTGTTGGCTGATGTGTCTCATCTTTTTAGGGATTTAAATTCTAATGTCCAAGCCTTGGACATAGGAACTAAAATACATGTGGGTATGTTGGGCAGTATTTACATGCCCTTATGGTTTTAGTCTTAACTATGCAGCAATAATACCTGGTATTACTGTAGTCGTTATTTTTATACTGTATAGCACCTAGTTTTGGAGCGTACATACAGTAATCCGCTTCTACAGAAGCTCTATTCATTTTCAAAAAGACTGTAAATAACCTTTTTTCTCAATATCACACAGGGTAAGTGAAGGAGGATATAGCTGTTGTTGGCTTCCAGAGTACGTTTTTATATTCTGCGTCCTCTTTTGTAAATGCTTCCAGCCTAGCTCCTTGTCGAATTCAGATTGCTCTGAAGCGTGCGAGTTGTCGTTGTGCCTTGCAACAGGGTGGGCTGGAAGCTGCTGCTTGTATTTCAGGGCTTCGAGTGGACTGGCAGGAGAACGATCTGCAGAAGCGTATCCTGAATGTTCCTCAGGACCTGTATGAGAAGGGTTACGTGAAAGACGTGGATGATGGACTGCGGGTAGGTGGCAGGAACTTGAGAACTGTTTAAGGTCCTGCTACTTGCAGACCTCAAGGGAGCCAGGCACTTAATTTACTTCTTAAGGGAGGGCTTCTGTGAACTTTTTGTACATAGCCATGTGTTTCTGTCCCTTTTGGTCAGGCTGCTGAAGAGGTTGGCTACCCTGTCATGATCAAAGCCTCTGAAGGAGGAGGAGGAAAAGGAATTAGGAAAGTTAACAATGCAGATGACTTCCCCAACCTATTTAGACAGGTAATTTTCTCTGTTGTTGATGTTTTGGATGTTCAGGGTGGACCTGAGAGCACTGTGTGGGAAACAGTAAAGAACGGACCAAGAGTGTATTATGTGTCAGGACCTGTCTAGCTACTCTGAAACCTGGATTCTGGCTTTCTTTCACAGGATTTCAGTACACTTGCATATCAAAAACAGTTGTCAAATCTCAAAATATCATGGCAGATGCTGAATAAAACCAAATTCTGGCATTTTTTCCCCCAGCAATTATGGGCATTTGTAGTGCAGCTAGAGCCTTCTTTATGATGGGTTATTTACTAAATCTGAGATAATAGAAGCTGCTTGGTAATTATACTGGCCCAGGGGAAATGCTGTGGATGTTCATTCTTTGGAAAATGAGCTTGGGGTGATTGCAGCTCAGACGGTAGTTTCCAAAAAAGCAATCTGTCCGTTTCCATGGAGCAGTGGAACTGCTGAGTGTGCGCATGGGCGAGGTGGCCCTTCACGGGCGCCTTAGCCCTTCTGGACTGCTGCTCCCTCTGATTCTGTGTTCCGATGAGATCTCGGAACCAGAGCAGATGATACTGGGCATTTTTTTACCTCTTCATTTCCTTTGCCATTCCTTATTGATCCCCAAACTACCTAGGAACAAAAGAATTTCATTAGGATTTCTGAGATCTGTAGCATGTTTCTGGAATCAATTGCTTTTGGAAAGTTCTTGCTATTTTTGATTCTCCCTTAGCATAAAGCTCACATAAAACTTGTCTAGATTAATGATTTTTAACCTTCAATAGTATTTCCTGGGAGCAAAATTTAAAAGTGGGAGGGAATATGTTTGCAGCTGTGGCTCGAGCCAGCACTCAGCTTTGTAATGCCCTGGGTGTTTTGAGCACACTGGTCACCTCCTTGATCTCATTTTCTCTGTGGATTGGTGTTTTCTAGTCTTTTCAGAAGGGTGATTTATTCAATTGAGTTTAAAGCTTCTTTAGTTGTAACAGTCCTTTCTAGAGAGGTGGCCGAGGAGAGGATTTGGGGCTGGTATCAGAGGAAGCTGCTTTGCATCCTGCTGTCTCCGCTCTAGGTTCAAGCAGAAGTGCCCGGCTCGCCAATCTTTGTCATGAGACTGGCCAAGCAGTCCCGTCACCTGGAGGTGCAGATCCTGGCGGATCAGTATGGCAATGCCATCTCCCTCTTCGGCCGGGATTGCTCCGTGCAGCGCAGGCACCAGAAGATTATTGAGGAAGCACCCGCCTCCATTGCGACGTCCGTGGTGTTTGAGCACATGGAACAGGTGAAGTGGCTCTGGGAGCTTTCTCTTCCATGTGAAACTCCAGGAACAGCCAGGCAGGAGCTGTAAATATTTTCTAATGTGGAGTATTGTAAATATTTACTTCAAACCCTGCTTTCCACAGTAGAAATGAAGTAACGCAAGAAACAAACTCCTGCCATGTGCTTTTCTTGGAGCAGTTCTTGTGCCTGTTGCACCCTTTTGACTGCTTCAGAGTGCTTAGCAGGAGGTCCGCAGTGGCTGGGGTGGATGAACAGCGTGTAGGTAACTGACTGCGGGTCCTGGAAACGGAGCGCTCTCTCCTCCTGTGTCCTAGTGTGCCGTGAAGCTTGCCAAAATGGTGGGATACGTGAGTGCCGGCACCGTGGAGTACCTGTACAGCCAGGACGGCAGCTTCTACTTCCTGGAGCTGAACCCGCGCCTGCAGGTGGAGCACCCGTGCACGGAGATGGTGGCTGACGTCAACCTGCCCGCCGCGCAGCTCCAGGTGAGCGCACCCGGCCCTCCAAACCTGGGACCTCCAGAGGTCTGAGCATGAAAAACCCCATCGGCTGCAGCCTTAACAGGACAGGGGCCTGGGCTCCGTGGGAGTCACTGCCAGGGTTCCGTGCTAGACCCAGATCATGCGCTGGCGTTACGCAGGTGACTAGATGTGGGTGCCGATAGGGAGAGAATATACAGAGTGTTAAAGAGCTCTACTGAATGTGCAGAAAAGTGGTATGTTTGTGTGTCTGTTAGTATAACTCCTCCACACTTCCTCCCTACTAAAAGGCCCCAACAACTAAAGATTTCAGGTGTTTTGCAGCCTGGGATTCCTTTTCTGTGGTTGGAGCAAAGCTCATGTTACAAAATATTGGAAAGTAAAGGGAGGTTCTTCCCCTATTGCTCCACCTAGATCATTCAGGGAGAGCCTTTAGTAAAGGGAATGTGAAGGTAAGAGGTGGGGATATGAAACAGGAGGCAGGAAAATCGTGTTGGGAGAAGGTTGGTGTAGAAAGCCTGTCTCAACAAGCTTTGGTTGTGAGTTGTTCACCTTTAGGCTCTGAAATTCTTTTGTCAATGGAGTTAGCTTCTGAGATTAGCAGAGCAGTCAAATGCTCTGCCAGGTTTGAGTAGCCTGTCACCCTCTGCAGTGCTTCTGAAGGAGAGTGCTCTGTTCCCAGAGTTTCCAGTGGCAAAGGGAAGAAAAAAGAGCAGACTTTTTTCCTAATCTTTCAGCAAGTGGAGGAAAAAAAATATTGGAGCATCTTGCAGGCTACACTTGGCTAAGAGTTATGGGAGCGCTGGAAACTGGTAGCTCTGCTAACCTAACTTACACTTTCCCCTTTCCTATTTTGAGTTTCTGTCTCTGATAACTCTGCCATTCCTAAAGTGCAGGATGTGTCTGTGCAGTGCGGACACCAAGAAATGCCATCACGTTGAGTCTAGTGCCCTCCAGACCCTATTGCGGGCGATTGCTCTTCACTGTCCTCAAAGCACAGAGTTCCCAGGAACCTGGTTGCATCAGAGTCTCCATAAGAAAAATTCCAGATTATGGTAGACCTTGTCCTGCTGGGCATTGCATGGGAAAAGCAGCTACTTGCACTTCCATAGAGCGTTTGTCAGCCCTCACTGTGCTTCATGCAGCTGTGGCTGGGTTCACTGTGCTGACTTAGCAGGAATCTCAGGATCAGTGAAGTTGTTTTCTTGCCAAACCTTTGGAGTAATTTGCTTTGGATTTGGAAAGTAGCAGCTTTCTCAGCTCTGCCACCTAAGACAGTGTCAAACAAGTTACCTTTCAATAAGGAGCAGCTCGGAGCGTGGGCAGGCTCGTGCAGCATGGGATCCCCTAGGAGCTCCAGAGCTTGAGCAGGAGGGTGTTTTCAGGCTGTGAGTGCTTGGGCAGCTCCCTCTGCCTGGCAGGCGCCTTGTGACTCCTACTCTGGACATCCCCAGTGCAGGTGCTGCCAGGGAAGGCCGTGGTCGCCTCGTTTGGGCGCGCAGGAGGGCGAGATCACTCCGTTTGGTCGGGCTCTGGGCAGTGTGCAGTGGCTCCAGCTCTGCCTGGAACATCAGAGCTCTCTAAGTGCCCAGGTGCTTTCCTCGTCGGCCGCTGCTCCTCCACTCTGCAGCTGCTAGACGGAATCTCACGGAGCCACTAACCACTTTGGTCTGTCTGTTTGCTGGGAATCCCGTTGGTGTCTGCCCAAGAGTTGAAGGAAATGACTGAACTCCAACCTGTATGAACTGTAGCTGTTTAAAAAAAGAAAATCCCGGCTAATGAACGGAACAGTTGGAATTCCTTCCCATAAGGATACAGTTAGCAGCCAATTCTGCAAGTTTTGCAGTTTATGGTTGTGAAATTCTGCAAAGGTCTCCTGCCACCAGTTACAGACCTTCTGTCTCACTAAGACCTTACTATATTTTTAATAGGTTTAATGTGTGCCCAGCCTCAGCTTACCTAACATGAGCTGGCCTTCTCTGAAGCCTTGTAATCAGGCAAGGGAAAATTCTAGCAGAAAGGTGGGTATTATACTCAGTTCAGCTGACCTGAGTAATACAAAAATGTGTCAAAGGAGAAAGCTCCCATAAGAAAACAGGCATTAGGTAGACTAGAACTGCAGCATCAACTTCTACGGGGAACGGGTAGAATTAATCTTTCAAGGGAGACACATTCTCTGGGAGGGGAGCAACTTAGCTAACAGCGGTTATTTATTTTATTATTTGTTTTTCCTAGATTGCTATGGGGATTCCCCTGCACAGGATCAAGGATATCCGAATGATGTACGGGGTGTCTCCGTGGGGAGATGTGCCCATTGATTTTGAGAACTCGGCCCACGTCCCCTGCCCACGTGGCCACGTCATTGCAGCACGTATCACTAGTGAGAACCCTGATGAGGTAGGTGTGTTAAGTTCTGTACTTCCTGGTTACAGCTCTGATTGTTTCAAGCTTTACTAAGTTCAATCCTTGCTGCTGATGCTGAAAAGTTTGGCAGCAAATTTAAGATTGTTTCCTTATCTCACTTAACCCGGCTGTTCTGTAGGCCATGGTTAGCTGGGAGCAGATGCACAGACACGGGTGTCTGGAAGGGTGTCTTTGTGGCCAGCATTCCATTGCCTCCCCACCTTCTCTGGATGTAATAGCTTGTGGCTATGCAGTTGGATTGGGAATTCTTTCTGTTGTGAATTGCTTGTTCCCCATACACTCTGTCACCAATTGCTGCTGAGGTGTTATTGGCCTCGCCAAAGCTAAGGGCTTCGTTTTCCTGTAGTAAGAATCCTGTAGATTCTCACCTGCAACAGTTCCCTTGTTGTTGTGTTTTTCAGCCTAAATTTAGCTAATATATATCATGTTGCAGCACAGGGGCACTTTAACTTTCATAGCTCTAATTATTTCCCTAATGTGTTGTTGTATTTTTCACCCTAAATTTAGCTAATATACATCATGTTGCAGCACAGAGGCTGCTTTCATAGCTCTAATTATTTCCCTAATTCTGGATTGCTTAACTTTTCCTATAATATGTATAACAATGTCTGCCTGTCTTTGCAGGGATTTAAGCCCAGTTCTGGTACAGTCCAGGAGCTGAATTTCCGCAGCAATAAGAATGTCTGGGGCTATTTTAGCGTTGCTGCTGCAGGAGGGCTTCATGAATTTGCTGATTCTCAGTTTGGTCACTGTTTTTCCTGGGGAGAGAATCGAGAAGAAGCCATCTCGTAAGTAGTCAGAGAAGGGCTGGGGCTGTGGGCGTTGCTTTCTTTAGTCCTCTGTGGTCCAAAGTGCTGTAGATAGAGCCAGAATCCTTACTTCTACAAGAGTTTTGAGAGGAGTCTCCCTGTCTTCGTCTTCACTTTGCTTTCCACATTATGGCCAGACTGCTCCTTCTGTCTCACCTAAGCAGTGCCTGTGTTTCTGTGTTTCTACATTTCTACCTTTCTTTTTTCTTTTAAAAAACACTTTATTTTACTGTTTTTTTTCCCTTTCTTTTTGCTTTCATCTCCTGCTTGGGTGTGGTTACATCTCCTCCTGCACTGAAATCCCTCTTTGATGACTTTCACACAGAAGGTTCCTAACAGGAATAGCGGATGCCCTGGTGTGCCAGTTCCTTCCAAAGGCCGAGCTGTGCTGCCGAGGCTCCGAGTGCCGTCGCATCAGCTCCCAGCCAGGACGGCCTGCCCGGTGTCCGTGTGTGTCTGCGAGCACAGCCCTCCCTGGGCTGTGTGCTGCAGGGGATGCACACCATGCCTGTCTCTTAATTTTATATGTATGTTTGCATGATAGTAACACTGGGAACTGCCATCTCATAGCTGGTGCTCACTGACTTTTTCTGGTACATCCCAGGAGCACATTAAAAGAAACCAGTGCTGTTTCATTCCTAAGCAAGTTATACAGGATCTTGCTCCAGTGCATACTCTCTCCTGCTATTACCTTCATATTGTTCTTTTCAGAGGGAATTATCTCATGGGGAACTACCCAGACTTAGGTTCCCTGTTGCCATTGGTATGGGACAAATAATAGCTTTTTTTTTCTTTCTTTCTTTTTTTTTTTTTTTTCAGAAACATGGTGGTGGCTCTGAAGGAGCTGTCCATCCGAGGAGATTTCCGAACCACTGTTGAGTACTTGATTAAACTGCTGGAAACAGAAAGCTTCCAGCAGAACCGCATTGACACGGGCTGGTTGGATCGGCTCATTGCAGAGAAAGTGCAGGTGCAGCTTCTTGCTTTATGGGACTCCAAACTGGAGAGGTTGAGTGGGTGGGGAGGAAAGCTTGGTGCTTCCTGGTTGCTAGAAAACAAGGCTTTAGTGTGGTTAATTTCCCCTTATCACTTGGAAGGAAAACATTTTCACTGTGTTTGATTTTTATTATATTAAAATTCTCTGATCCTTATTTTGTCAGGGAAAAGTGGTCTTAAAGCTAATCATAAAAGCACCTTAATGTAAATGAGAATTGAGGCTAGTATTTTTGGCCATCCTCCTAAACTGGACAGATGCTGGTGAAATGTGGAGCCTCAGGATTTGGTCGGGTTGGGGGGAGTGAGCTGTGTTTATTTTGAGCTATTGCAGGGGTGATTGTTTCTGTATAGTGTTTGCATGGATGCTACAGCAATTTAACTTGGAAGGAGGTTTGTCTTGAACCAGAAGTAGAGCTGGGCCTGATTTGTTGAGTGGATGCCCATAGCAGACCAAAGTAAAGGAGATGTAAGCGTGCCTGAGGATGGGTAGGGATTTCCCTGTGCTCTCTCCGCAGGCGGAGCGGCCGGACACCATGCTGGGAGTGGTGTGTGGGGCTCTGCACGTGGCTGACGTGAGCTTCCGAAACAGCGTCTCCAACTTCCTGCACTCTCTGGAAAGGTAAAATGCCAAGCTGCTCTGGCAGGTGGCTGGCAAACAGATGGGAATACGATTCTGGTTTCCAAGTTTTGGCCAAATACAACCCAGAAATGTACAGAGCTGGCCAGGGTCTGCTGGCTGTTCTCTGGCCCCAGGAAGCTGTTCAGCTACTGGCCCAAGAAAACTGGCAGATATCTATGCACATCCCCAAAATATCCCCTGCTGTTTGCACAGATTGGTTTGTTCGCTGGCAGTTTTGGCAGAAACTCCAAGAAATGGCCCAGAAATGTGAAGTTCATTCTATCTATCTGTGCTGCCAGGGCAACAGTAGGGAGCCTTGAGTCATCACATATTGTGTTCCTCCTGTTTTGAAGATGGATGTAATCTTCCAGACCTGACATAATTCTCCAAATTGTAGGTTTTCTGCTGGCGCTTAGGAAATCCTCTTGCTTTCCTGCTGGCTTTACACTGTAGCAGGCTTTGTAAGAAGACTTCATAAGACTCAGGCTAAAGCTGGTGTGATCAGGCAAGCTCGTTCGTAACTGAGCTTTCCTACTCCATGTGGTGTAGGTGAGCCCTTCTCTAAGGAGGGCTGTAAATGGAAAAACTGCTTTATCACTGTATTAAGTTCATGCTACAAGCTCTGTAACTGAGGCTGTGATGATGTTTTGCAGAATTATCTATAGGGGGAAAGTGAGTGAATATAGGAGATGGAATGAGCAGGTCTGTGTGGATGGAGACGGGCTGACTGGCTCTGTACAGATGACACAGCTCTCCTAAGGAGAGGTGCTTTGTAGGCCTCCTCCATCGCTCTGCTAGCGGTGTCCGTAATCCTGCGTGCAGCATTGAACCTCTTTTGGCCATTTGGTGGCATCTGGAAAACAAGTTTTGTTCTGTATTTCCCTTTAGGGGCCAGGTCCTGCCTGCTCATACTCTGCTAAATACTGTGGATGTGGAACTCATCTACGAAGGACGGAAGTACGTGCTGAAGGTACGATACGCAGTGTGGAAATGTGTCCTCTTCCCACTGCTAGCTGGAAATGCCTGTTCATGTGCTGCTCTGGCTTAATCTTTGTGATAGATGTAATTAATGGAATTAAACTTTGCAGAGTTGATTTTCTGTCTTTTGTGGGGTTAAGAAATCCAGCTGCAGTCCCATGATGATACCCCATCACTTCAGAGATTACAGTATCTCTGTGCATCTGTGCAAACATTTTAATCTCAGGGCTACCTACCCTGTAGGTGTTAAAAATACTGTACTGCAGACAAAGACTACTGCCTTTTAACTGCTGACATTTTCTGTCAATGCTGCTTAATGTGTGAATCTACCATGTTGACTGATTTAGCTCAATGTCATCAGCATGACAATCCGTAGCATTTTTTCCTTTTAGTTTTACTTTACATGCAAAAAAAAAAAAAAA